ACGTTCGGGTTCAGTTCCTGGGAGTCATCCGAGTGACATTAAACTTATCATTTACTTTCACTTCAAGACAGGAAAAAACAGAGCGATTTCTCAGTGGACGTGACGGCGTAACCCTCACCCGTCACACAAAGTTCGTATTCTCGTAACTTTTGGATAGATTGGCGCCTTTACCGTCACACAAGGGTCAGTTTATCGCCTTACCGTCACGTAAGGGTCATATTACCGTCTCACCGTCACGCAAAGGTCATGTTAGCGTCACTCTTTGTTATATTATTGCTCTTACCATCACATAAAGGTCACATTCCCGCGTTACCGTCACACAAATGTCATATTCCCGTCTCATCGTCACACAAATGTCATATTCCCGTCTCACCGTCACATAAAGGTCATATAACCGTCTTACCGTCACATAAAGGTCATATTCCCGTCTCACCGTCACAAAGGTCAGCGTTTGTGTTATGTCATATATTTAAAATGAGGTGAGTTTGCGCCTTGACACGTGTGTAAATATGTAAATGTGACGGGGATGCTCAGTGTAAGGAAATTTGTAAACATAAGAGGGTAAACTTGTAGATTGTTTGTGATATTGACTTGTAAATTTAAATGAAGGAACCTTGTAAATATGACGACGTTTGATAAACTTGTAAATTTAACGTGTAAATATAACTTGTAAATTTGAAGGTATAAAATAGTAAATGTGAGACAATAAACTTTTAAATATGAAGGGTAAGAAACTAGTATACAAATTGCAAATGTAAAAGAATAAACTCGTAAATATGAAGGACTATACAATTGTAAATTGTAATATAAAACTTATTGTATAAATTTTACGATTAAAACAACTTCCTGTTGCTGTAAACAACTTGATGTGGCTGTAACTGTAAACAAAACCATTTAGCCGTAAAAAAAATCATGTAGCTGTAAAAACAACATCTAGTAGTTGTAAAAAAAGGTTCTTATATTTACAAATAACTTCCAGGTGAGAGAGAGAGAACCTTATCCTTCCAGGTGAGAGAGAGAACCTTATCCTTCCAGGTGAGAGAGAGAGAACCTTATCCTTCCAGGTGAGAGAGAGAGAACCTTATCCTTCCAGGTGAGAGAGAGAGAACCTTATCCTTCCAGGTGAGAGAGAGAGGACCTTATCCTTCCAGGTGAGAGAGAGAGAACCTTATCCTTCCAGGTGAGAGAGAGAGAACCTTATCCTTCCAGGTGAAAGAGAGAGAACCTTATCCTTCTACCCTCACGTTCCCGCCTCCTCCTCCTCCTCCTCTCTCACTCCCTTCCTGTTTACATTCTTCTTTTCTCCCTCTTACCATTTTCTCTCTCTCCTCCACTCTCACTTTTCATTATCTCTTCCTGTTTACGTTCGCCCCCCCCCCTCTCTCTCTCTTCATTCTTGTTCTTTCTCACTCTCTCTTTCCTTGTCATTCCTCTCTTATGCCAATCATCCCTATTTTTTCTTTCTCTTCGCCCTCTTTCTCTTACTTTCTCTACATCTCTTCCCCTCTTTTTCTTGCTTCCTCGTTGCTCTCTTTCTCTCTGTCGCCCTCCCTTCTTCTCCCGAATTCTCTCCCACTCTCCCTTCCTCTTCGCCCTCTCTCACACTCTCCCTCTCTCTTCGACTCTCTCCCTTTTCACCCTTACTCTCCCTCTCTCCATCCTCAAGAATGTGTGTTTAAGGTTGTGGTCCAAACATGGCTAACTCACTTCCTGCTTACACAACCTCTCTCTCTCTCTCTCTCTCTCTCTCTCTTTCTCTCTCTCTCTCTCTCTCTTTGTTTCTCTTTGTATGTCTACTGTATCTCTTCATCTCTCCTCCTTTCTCTCGTTTTGAGGCTTCCAGAACCAGATGTCTACGATCACACAGTCAAGATCACACATGTTTTCTAAGATCACATGGCCAAGACCACGTGCTTTCTAAGCTCACGTGGCCAAGACCGCGTGTTTTCTAAGATCACATGGCCAAGACCGCGTGTTTTCTAAGATCACGTGGCCAAGACCACGTGTTTTCTAAGCTCACATGACCAAGACCGCGTGTTTTCTAAGATCACATGGCCGAGACCGCGTGTTTTCTAAGATCACGTGGCCAAGACCGCGTGTTTTCTAAGATCACATGGCCAAGACCACGTGTTTTCTAAGCTCACATGGCCAAGACTGCGTTTTCTAAAATCACGGCCAAGACCGGGCGTGTTTAAGATCACGTGGCCAGACTACATGTTTTCTAAGATCACGTGGCCAAGATCAGTGTGTTTCTAAAATCACATGGCCAAAACCACGTGTTTTAAGCTCACATGGCCAAGACTACGTGTTTCTAAGCTCACATGGCTAAGACCGCGTGTTTTAAGATCACGTGGCTAAGACCGCGTGTTTTCTAAAATCACATGGCCAAAAACCATGTTTTCTAAGATCACATGGCCAGACGACGGTTTAAAATCACATGCATAAACCACGTGTTTTCTAAGATCACATGGCCAAGACCGCGGTTTTCTAAGATCACATGGCCAAGACCACGTGTTTCTAAGCCTCACATGGCCAAGATCATGTGTTTTCTAAGATCACGTGGCCAAGACCGCGTGTTTTTCTAAAATCACATGGCCAAAAACCACGTGTTTAAGATCACATGGTCAGACCACGTGTTTAAGATCACTCGGCCAAGATCACACGTGTTTTCTAAAACCACATAGCCGAGATCACGTGTTTCCTAAGATCATATGGCCAAGACCACGTTTTTTCTAAGATCACATGGCCAAGATCACACGTGTTTCTAAAATCACATGGCCAAGATCACGTGTTTCCTAAGATCACATGGCCAAGACCACGTTTTTTCTAAGATCACATGGCCAAGATCACACGTGTTTTCTAAAATCACATGGCTAAGACTGCGTGTTTTCTAAAATCACATGGTCAAGATCACACGTGTTTTCTTAAATCACATGGCTAAGACCACATGTTTTCTAAGATCACATGGCCAAGACCACGTTTTTTCTAAGATCACATGGCCAAGACCACGTGTTTTCTAAGATCACATGGCCAAGACTGCGTGTTTTCTAAAATCACATGGCCAAGATCACACGTGTTTTCTTAAATCACATGGCTAAGACCACATGTTTTCTAAGATCACATGGCCAAGACTGCGTGTTTTCTAAAATCACATGGCCAAGATCACACGTGTTTTCTAAGATCACATGACCAAGATCACACGTGTTTTCTAAGATCACATGACCAAGACCACATGTTTTCTAAGATCACATGGCCAAGACCGCGTGTTTTCTAAGATCACGTGGCCAAGACCGCGTGTTTTCTAAGATCACATGGCCAAGGTCACACCTGTTTTCTAAGATCATATGACCAAGATCACACGTGTTTTCTAAGATCACAGTCAAGATCACACGTGTTTTCTAAGACCACACAGTCAAGATCTCGTTTTCTAAGATCACATGACCAAGATCACACGTGTTTAGATCACTCGATTAATAACGGCTTTTCTAAAATATAGTCACGATTCCAAAGCGCAGCAATGGTTTCTAAACTACTATTCACTGGTTTCGAAAACTATCTCCAGCTGCTAAATCCTGTTAGGCCTACTGATTTTTAAACTCACTAGTTTCTAGATACTCAATAAAACACAAAATATATTTTGGGTTTTTGTCGGTTTCTAAAACAAATGGTTTCTAATATACAGTTGTTGGTTTCTAAATGTTTTCCGCAATAATCATTTGTTTGTAAAATAATCCGTGGTTTCTAAAATTAGTCACTTTTTCCAAAATACAATTGTTGGTTTCAAACTCAATGACTGCAATATTCATGTTTCTAAAGTAGTAATTGGTTTCTAAAACATTTGTTATTTTTAAATATTATCACCGTTTTCTGAAATATTGTCAGTCTAAAACAGTCACTGGTTTCTAAGACGCATTAGAACCATTGTCTCCAGTTTGTAAAATAGTCATTGTCTTTTTTATAACTGCAATATTTGGTTTCTAAACTATATAGTTATTGGTTTCTGGTGAGCATGGATTAGGTTTTTAAAATGTATAATCACTGGTCTAAATCATAATGTAGTCATTGGTTTCTAAAATGCACAGCCAATGTAATCTAAATAAAAGTAAATTCGCTCCGAGTATATTCAATGGTTTCGACAAAATAAAGAGGAGGCCTCTATTTTGTAGAATCCATTGCACACTATATATTTACTGGTTTTTATAATGTGTATAGAGGAGTCACTAGTCTACTGTATGGAAAACGATTAGCTATTTCTAAACTGCACAGTCAGCGATTATTAGAATGCACAAGCAATGGTTTCTAGAATTCACTAGACTATGACGTCATCTCCCAAATCACTTCATTCTTTATATAACACATGATAAATTATTGATAAATATAGGGTTATTGGACTTATGTATAATATTCTGTCTATATAATAATTGCATGGATTTTCTTTAATGAAAACACAGATTATATAATTTACTTTTAAGACACACTAACATGCACACAGGGAAAATATTCACTTCATTAAGACGGTAAACGAATACGCAACACTGTTCAGACTTCTCCGTGAGCGCTGCCTTGAATAAATAATGTCTATTGTCCGACACATTCACTGTACGTGTGAAGGGAATACAAACACGTTAGTTAAGGGCTTGATCCTCTAAACTTGATCCTTTCTACCGTAACAGATCCCCTTGTAAATAATTTATAATGGTATCTTGTGGTGAATTTCTTTCTTTCTTACATATATTTGCGATAAAACTTAGCGAGTGTACTGTACTCATATTTCGACGTCTCTCCCTAAAAATTGCGTCTTGTACTCTTGTCTACTGTATATTCATTTCCTACACAAAACCACTGCAGTGTCACTTAATTAGACGTACATCAAACAATACGTAGGAAATGCATTATTATCCAGACGTACGACTACTTCACTCTTATTTAGACGTATTTCCGGCCAAACTCGACACAGCACTATTTCAAACGTATTTACAACAAGACATGGGGTAACTTACCTCATCAAAACGGGTTCCTGCGAATGCACACGACAAGCTGAGTGACTGACAGTCTATTCAGCGAGATATTGTGAGCAGGAACTAGCCCAGGGAACCCACGGTCAGTCGAAGCAGGGGAGGGAGTGTGGGAACGACGGAGCACTACGTGAATATCTTCCTTCACAGCTGACGTTCACACATCGCCATCACGGTGCACTTATAAAGTTTTTCTTCCTTCTTGGAAATGTTCTTTTAGCAGAGGCAAAATGAATGCATCTACTGACTATACTATAATTCAGATGTACTGCTTTCACTGTTAGTATGACGTCGAGAAGAGTATTATTGCCTCTATTGCGTGGGACTATTGAGTATATTTTCCCGCATCTGTTTCATACCTGTCCCCATTCATTCCCTCAGCCCTTCCCGGACAACAACGCACACTACCACTTCCGCCATGCGTCCCTTACACACGAATCATCTTTCCGTAAGGTTCGTTAATTCGCAGAGAGAGAATGTATATCAAATTTGCTGGGCGATTTTCTACAAGCACACGTACCTACTACTGATTAGAACCAAAAGAACAAAACGGTGCTCGAATCAGTGATGGGAGGAGGACGTTGTCGGCAGAGAGATGTAATGTAGGCTAGTGGAATACCCGCTTCTGGCGGAGATCTCGGAGCCCCCCCCGGCCTATATTTTGACACACCCCCCTCCCCCAACTAGGCTCCTGCTATACCTTTATGATATCATTATAGCTCACACACTTATATACTTCCGCCTTATGAAATACTGTTAAAAGACTTAGATTATACCCGAAAACCTTCAGAGATAATAAAAGTTGTGGAAGAATAAAGATAATTGGTGGAAAATAGAGACGAATATAGCGCGCGCCGATAACTCTGTCCTCCCCTCTCACCGCTAAGGTACCGCCCCATGCGAGTCCATCTTCTCTACAGGAATTTTCTTTCAAGAGTCGCCTAAAAACCCCGTTAAAATATCAATTACCACACCCATTAACATATTCAACCTCTCTCTCATTATCTCCTCTGCATAAGGGAATAGTTTTGAGGGATAGTCTCATGAGGAAAGGCATTAGAACAGCTGCAGTGTGAGGTTAGTGTCTCAGTTGGTGTGGGTTCATGTTTGAGGAGAGACGTGCAGAGTGCGCGTGTGTCTCTACCACGAGGTGCGCGCCCCTCTGCCCCGCCATGCTCTACCTGGGTACCCTACCCCAAGGTAGTCCTTGCCCTACACTACCTTGGATACTGAAGAAATCCGTTTTCTATTTGTTGATACACATAATGGGAACTATCATTGTTTAATATCTGGTTTAATTTTTATTCTTGTATTCACTACTTCCTGTGTGCCCTATTTCTTTTTTAACAATGTATTTATTTACGGTGAAATGATGACAATAACGTAACTCAGAACAACAACGATAACAAAAGTAATAATAATAATAATAATAATAATAATAATAATAATAATAATAATAATAATAATAATAATAATAATAATAATAATAATAATAATATTAACAATAATAATAATTATTATTATTATTATTATTATTATTATTATTATTATTATTATTATTATTATTATTATTATTATTGCTGCTACAAATAATAATAAATACCTTATTTATTTAGTTGTCATTTTCTCCTTTTCTGTCTAGTTGTTTATATCTTTATATCTATCCGTTAATCTCGTATTCCTTCTGTTTTTCACTCCCCCTCAGTCTTCCATCACTCACGGTTCCACTACCCCCACTTGCCATTATTTCTTCTGCTTACTTTCTCTAACTTTTAATAATAGCAATAATGTTTTTCTGTCGGCAGTTCACCCTAATGGTATATTTTCTCTCCACTCTCTCATTCCCTCTACCTATTCACTTAGTAATATTCTTCGGTACAATGTCGGCGTTTTTAGTTTCCTCTTAATTTTGTTCAGGTCTGTTACCTATTTTTTTCTCTCGTCTTTATTCATATTTACGCTTTGAAATCTTTTTGTATCCTATATCTAAGTTACTGAATAATACAGCCAGGATATGACCCGTTTTAATTAAATGGCAAAAGTGACTTGGTTTAGGTTTTGTTCAAGCTGAAGTCATAACTAATTTCAATGATGGTTTTGCTTCCGTTTGTCATAATGCCAAAAACGCTTAAGTAGTGGATATATTATTATCTTACTATTCATGTATTATTATTATTATTATTATTATTATTATTATTATTATTATTAGTAGTAGTAGTAGTAGTAGTAGTAGAGGTCTGGATGCAAACGGTTGGAGAGTCATCCTCAGCACAAACAAGTTTGGCCCTGTAGCAAGCGATCTCTGCACTGCCATTGCCGCCCTTGCAAGAAAGCTTGCATCCTCTCGCTGCCATCACCTCCAGGCCCTGACGGCCTGCCGCCTTATTCCTCTGGAAAAGAAACCAGGATGTAGACCTATAGGGGTGGGGGAAGTGCTGAGGCGGATCATCGGAAAGTGCATAATGGAGGTGGTAAAGGACGATGTCAGGGCAGCAGCAGGGAACCTACAAGTGTGTGCTGGCCACCAGGCTGGTGGGGAGGCGGCCATTCACGCCATGAGATTGATATTTGAGCAGCGTGATTGTGAGGCCGTTCTTCTGGTGGATGCTTCAAACGCATTCAACATACTTAACCGCAAGGCTGCACTGCACAACATCAAGATCAAGTGTCCAAGCTTTGCGATGTATGTTGAAAATTCGTATAGGAATCCTTCAGACCTCTACATAGTAAACAACAAGGCTCTACGAGGTGATACCATCCTACAGTCGACCGAGGGAACAACACAGGGGGACCCCGTTGCAATGGCAATGTATGCAATTGGCCTATCAGTGCTCCAACAAGAAATAAAATTTGAAACAACTGGGGTCAAACAAGTGGCATATGCTGATGACCTTACAGGAGCAGGAAAAGTGGAGTGCATCAAAAAGTGGTGGGACTTGGTAACATCGCGAGGTCCACAAATAGGGTACCACCCAAACGCCAGCAAGTCCTTCCTCATCGTGAAGCCAGAACATTATGAACGGGCATTGGAGGTTTTTGGCGGAAGTGAGGTCAAAATAACTAAGGACGGCCAAAGACATCTAGGCGCAGTAATTGGCACTACGGACTTCAAGACCGAGTACGTAGCGGGAAAGGTGAATGAGTGGGTTAGCGAAATCCAAGCTCTGTCTGAGATTGCTAACACAGAGCCACATGCGGCCTTTGCAGCATTCACCCATGGAGTCAAGCATCGCTGGAACTACCTGATGCGTACCATCCCTGAGATCGGACCCCTCCTCCACCCTCTGGAAGAAGCTATCAGTGTCAAGTTCATTCCCAAACTAGTGAAACACCCTGACTTAACCCCAGCAGAAAGAACACTTCTTGCACTTCCACCAAGACTGGGAGGGATGGGACTAACTAATCCAGAGGAGATTGCTGACACTGAACATCAAAATTCACTTAAGCTCACGGCAGCCCTCACTGACCACATAATAGCCCAGAATGCAACAGGGGAAGTGGACACCAGCGAAGTAAATAAGATCCGTAGGTCCATTACAACAGATCGGCAGCACTGCCAAAATGACATGTTGCAGCAACTATTGCTGCAGGTTCCAGAAAATTTGACAAAAAAAGTAGCTATAGCGCAGGAGGTGGGCGCCTCGAACTGGTTAACTACGTTACCGATAAGGGCAAATGGTTTCAGCCTTAACAAACAAGAATTTACAGATGCCATTGCTCTAAGGTACGGTTGGCCAGTAGATGGTTTGCCCTCCCAATGCGTGTGTGGCTCTTCCTATGATGGCGATCACGCCATGGTCTGCAAGAAGGGGGGCTTCATATGCATGAGGCATGACGAGGTAAGGGATCTCACAGCAAATATGTTGAAGGAAATCTGCCGGGACGTCATGGTAGAACCGACCCTCCTTCCACTGGATGGCGAGATCTTCCAACACAGGACTTCAAACACATCTAACGAAGCCCGTGTGGACGTCAGTGCTCGAGGATTCTGGACGCGGGGACAGCGAGCTTTCTTCGACATCAGGATTTTTGATCCCATGGCCGCTTGTCACCGTAACCTAGCTCTCGATGCTGCACATAGGAGGAACGAGAACGACAAGAGAAGGGCATATGGGGAGAGAATTCAAAACGTTGATCAAGGCAGCTTCACTCCTCTAGTGTTCACAACCTCTGGTGGGATGGGCCCAAGTGCAAGATGTTTCTACGCCAGACTCGCGGAGTTGATCTCCGAACAGAAGCAGCAGCCCAGAAGTTATGTTACAGCCTGGATGAGATGTCGACTGTCCTTTCTCTCTCCTTCGGTCGGCTTTGCTCTGCCTCAGGGGAACGAGAGCTTCTGCCCCTACTCCGACAACTGCTGCAGATATTGACTATGAGGCTACAGTCACTGAATGCCGCATAGATCTGCGGCTCAACTAATTTAACACAGATAGGATAGCTTATTATGTATTAGGATATTTAATATTAAGGTAAATAAATGGTGGCGAAGGTGTGGCTATTGGGGGAGGCTGGAGGCCACGTTAATAAAAAATAAATAAAAAGTAGTAGTAGTAGTAGTAGTAGTAGTAGTAGTAGTAGTAGTCCAAGTGCAAGATGTTTCTACGCCAGACTCGCGGAGTTGATCTCCGAACAGAAGCAGCAGCCCAGAAGTTATGTTACAGCCTGGATGAGATGTCGACTGTCTTTCTCTCTCCTCCGGTCGGCTTTGCTCTGCCTCAGGGGAACGAGAGCTTCTGCCCCAACTCCGACAACTGCTGCAGATATTGACAATGAGGCTACTGTCACTGAATGCCGCATAGACCTGCGGCTCAACTAATTTAACACAGATAGGATAGCTACTTATGTATTAGGATATTTAATATTAAGGTAATTAAATGGTGGCGAAGGTGTGGTTATTGGGGGAGGCCTTGAGGCCACGTAGTAGTAGTAGTAAAAAAAAGTAGTAGTAGTAGTAGTAGTAGTAGTCTAACATACAATAAAATATGAAACAACCGAGGTCAAGCAAGTGGCATACGCTGATGACCTAACAGGAGCAGGAAAAGTGGAGGACAACCAAAAAGTGGTGGGACCTGGTAACATCACGAGGTCCACAAATAGGGTACCACCCAAACGCCAGTAAGTCCTTCCTCACTGTGTTGTGAAGCCAGAACACTATGAACGGGCAATGGAGGTGTTCGGTGGAAGTGAGGTCAAAATAACAAAAGATGGCCAAAGACATCTTGGTGCGGTAATTGGCACGAATGACTTCAAGACCGAGTATGTAACGGGAAATGTGAATGAGTGGGTGAAGGAAATCCAAGCTCTGTTTGATATTGCTAAAACAGAGCCACATGCGGCTTTTGCGGCATTCACCCGTGGAGTCAAGCATCGCTGGAATTACCTGATGCGCATTATCCCTGATGCTGGACCCCTCCCCCTCCCTTTGGAAGAAGCCATCAATGTCGCTTTTATCCCAACTAGTGAGAAACCCTTACTTAACCCCAGCAGAAAGGTCACTCCTTGCACTACCACGGAGACTAGGAGGAATGGGATTGACTAATCCAGTGGAGCTTGCCCGTACAGAACATCAGAACTCTGTCAAGCTCACGGCAGCTCTCACTGAGCACATAAGAAATCAGAATGCCGCAAGTCAGG